GACATCACATGGCTAGTAGATGACATCACATGGCTAGTAGATGACATCACATTGCTAGTAGATGACATCAGGTCTGAGGTTTTACATTCATGATAGTCACATCCGGCTAAAGCTGTAGGCTCGTGATCAATGGAAGTAACTCACCGGCTTAACAGATCATAACCTTTGGAGAGGGAATTTAATGAGCATGCTAAAGCCTGATACTGTTGGCTTAATTTAACTAGACGATCATGGATCGCTAACGTGGGCTTCCTGTAGCTGCGGCAAAGGGTCAGCTGCCGCGCTAGAAGTTGTGCATGATTGTTCAGTCCTTTCAACATTTATTTGAGGGGGAAAGGGAAGATTTGCACAGGAATACCCAGATAGATCATCGAATTCAATCTATTTTAAGCCATGTCTCAACTGTTTTGTCCGGGATTGTAGATATCGCGATCAGTCCACGATTCCGACTGATGTACAAAATAATACATGTCAAAAATGAAAGTAAGCGCGGACTGGTTTTGTTTGATATCCCCATGRAAAATGAGACTGCASRCCATCTGCAACGCAGGCGCTACTATTTTGAAGCGTAWTATTCACGACGACGACGAARGAGAAAAKTCCACTGACATTTTTAGAYRTGCWCTTCCACAGGAAGCCCACGTAAAAAAAMMCAGACTTTTATCAGTATTTCTAGTAGTCTACCCTTGAGATGAAAGTTTCACGATCACTTATTCATCAAATACTAGTTCACGAAAATATTATCGTTTTTTAAGACAAAATATACGCCACATRATTAATCACGGGAGTTATCTTTTGTTTAAAAATTTCAGCAAAAATAGTCCGGTGCGAACTATGCAAAATATCATTCACAAAAGCAGCATTTTATCATCGAGGGRCAATGGACTCCAAGATTTCCCCYACACCTCATTTAGTAATAAATGGATAGTTGATGATGCAGATTTTAAAAGTATTTGAATTGTATGTTATAAAACTGAYACTTATAAGGGAGTAAGCAAGTCACACAATGCTCATAAAAATCACGAGTATTACAGTGGGAACCACAAAGCCGTGACCATGTCATCCGCTGCAGCTCAATCATTACAATTTGCTTWAGAGTCAATTTAGAGTTTTCAAGAAGTCGCATCGCAGCAATAGTGCTCTTTTGTGCGATAACAGAATTCAGACAAACTTCAAACTTGTCCATTCTTCTTAAGTGGCATATTTGAAACAATATAGATCAACAGATTTTTTAATTATATTCTGATTTATATCGTGCTGTGGCCTCAGGAAATGCAGCTATGAAGGAGTATGATATGCAACACTCACGCARTGAGAATCACAAAGTTGTGATCGCGTATATAGAACAATTTCAAGAATTTGAATTTTGGAATTTTTGTGAGATTTTTTTCTTTCTTATTCCACAGTTAATCCACAAATACAAAGCGTGCACCGATGATAAAAGCGCGCTTTTCTTTCTGTCTCAAGCAATAGTTGGGCAGCCTATAATGCTGTTACTGGTGGATTTGATTCCCCTACCTTCTGTTAGGGGGAAGAGATTCGCAAAAATAAAAAAGCTTTTAAGAAACATCGAGGTTGTGAGAATGTCATTTATTTTTTAGAAAAAGTCAACAGTAACAGTCAAGTTTGCATGCAAGTTTTGTGTAAAGACAAAAGGCTCAATAAAAAATATGGATCTGTAAAGTGCAAACTCAATTAAGTGAGTATCTGCTGTGATTGTAGGTGCTTGGGTATATTATACGTTCTTGATATAGTACACTTTCAGTGATGCAGTATATTTTAAAGTGTACACATCTAATTCAGGAAATGTTGAATACTGTACATGCTATACTGCATCGTGCATTTCAATTGAACTTCATGTTTTTGGCTGCTTTTCGAATGCCAATTCTAAACTTATCTGCGCTCCACTGATGTTCTTAACTGTATACGGATCTCACACAAGGCTTTTATAGGGGATCTTTCTCTGATAAATGGAGCTTTTAGAATCCGTATAACGTGGAACCTACAGTAAAGTAGAAGCTCATTTTTTTAAAGAAAGCTTATTGTATCACGTACCATCTAATGAGTTCAAACTGTCAAAGTAATCATATTATGCTRTTTTCCTTTGATTTTCAGTGGTTACTTTGCAAAAAGGCAAATATTGCCTAATGTAATGAATACAAAATGTAAACATTGACGTCATGAAAAAATTCACCTAAAGTTACTTCGAAACTACGAAAATTTCCGACTCATTTTCAACGAAGAGACCGATCACCATCACTGCATTTTGATCTTCAGTAATATTCAACATTTTCTGAATTAGCTAAATAGATGTGTAAATGATCTCCAGAGACAGTGGATGATTATGATAATTAGAACATTATGCCAATACAGTCACGTGAGTGCATTAAGCGTAGCAATAGAAGAGTGCCATGAATGCAGCAATAAGAATCTTCCTGATCCCATCAGCTTCTGCAGCCCCTGCAGTAACAGTGTCAGTTGGGAAATGGCTTGTTGTCGTACTGTCGTGAGAAGTTACAGTACTACTAGGTGCACCATCGGGAGTACTGTCAGAAGTACTTCTATTGTAAGAACTACTGCCAGTAGTAGGGTTAGGTCCTGTAATTAAATTAAATATTCAGCGTTAAAAAAGATGGTTTCCGAAAAATGTGAGCACTTTCAGAAATAAAACAGATCTAAGTCCCAATTAGACGACACAACTTTTGCCTGCAACCATCGCATCGCATCGCACCTGCGTAAGTCATCTATATAACATGGCTACAACTGTTKTAGGGCTATTAATAAACAAATYCCAAGACAGTTCTAGCTATGTTATAACGATGACTTACGCAGTTTGCATGCGATGGTTGCAAGCAAAAATTGTGCCGTATACTCGGCCTTATTTTGAGCAAATCTCATATATATTTTTTGTCCAAATTACATTGCTTTTAATTATACTAGCGATATTTTTACAATGCGCGTGAAATCATTKTCTGTATTTTTTGTCCATGAATTTATTGCTTGAAAAATTATATTCATTGAATACAGRAGTTTCATTCAAGAAACAGATCTGTTTAGTGTAAGCAACGTAAYGATAGCGTGACACGCCTTACCTTGTCCACCCAAGTCAATCAGAAAGCGAGAGTTATGGTACAATATATACTTGCATGATGAAAAAGGAGATTTCTACGTGCTAAACTAGCCAATATAATACTAGAATACTACACTGATTGGCTTTTGGATATCCACATACAATCTCGCTGATGATGACATAAATTAATGCATATTAATGAATTTAAAAGCAGTTCAAATGACATTTTAACCTGCGCTGACACGAAGAATGACTGTTCCTCTTCCCTGACAAGTATTGGTAAATTCATCTTGTACATGACACTTGAAGGTCTACCTTGAACCCACGATACCCTGTCATCGGTATTTCTCACCACATCAAATATCTTGCTGCTGGAATTGTACTTCACTTCATGAATCACTGAACCATTCGATTCTAATTTACTCGTTGCTACTTGCAGACTCCCAGAAGAATTCTTGAAGATGAAGAGAACATCGTCACCGACGGATGCGTGGACGTCACTGATCGTTATGTTGTCAATGAGACATACACCATGCGACTCTAAAAACAAGAAATTAAACAGAAACTGATGTAGTACGTATAGGAAATATAAGTCGGCGATCAGTATTTATCTTCTCACTAGTATCACGCTTAAATATGACTCATGAATCGATCGGCCTTGTAAAAATCGATCAGAGATTTCATTTTACGCTAAAAAAACGTTATAAAGAAGAAATTATAATTTTATCCTTTTTCGGTTGACGACACGTGTTTTCTTCCACCAAGAGAAGTAATCGCAAGCTATTTTTGGCTCACCTTTAACCAACCCCACCGAAAACACCAACGCCGTAAAAAGAATTAATTGATAGTTCATGATGCAGTTCACAACTAGGACCGTGCTTATGAATTGTCACTAGCCACTGAACGTGTATGAAACAATATGCTGATATAGTCGACGATGCGTATAAGCCCTACATAGTGAGCATGTGGGATACTGAATATGACCGATATGTGGACAACAATACATTGAAAGATTTTTCTGACATGAGTTGTGGAGGTAATACCTCCTGTGTATATCATTGTGAACATTTAGATTTGCGCAACAAAACATATTTTATTCATCGTGCTGAGGCCTCATATCGGGGAATGAAAAGTCTTTTTTACCCGCCTCCCACATGTTATCTAGACTTTAGAATACCCGGCCATTGATTTTTTTCAACCGTTCCAATGAAGATAAAGGACCGGCGACCATGTTGGAGGAATGAACAATAAATACTAATGAGAAATCCTTTGTAAAGTTCATGCAAGATGAGCACTGTGACGCATAATGAACACAAAGAATAGAGAAGTTTTATTTTGCAGTGTACCGCTTGCCCGCAGAGGGCCATTCATTTTTTATGACAGGGTATTCTATAGACTCCTCGTGCATGTAAACAAGGGGCCGTTATGCATGAGCATGCGCGCAACCGCTGCGTTATAACGACCATGGGCTCTATAATACGGGTAGAATAACATTGTAGTCAKCTGCGGAAGCTTGGATTCTGAACATAATTGAAGTTTTTACTTATCTTCCACATTTTTCCAAACAAAACCAAGTAGATATATTTACAATGCACACGAATATCTTTCAAACATTATATAAATTACTGTGAGTCACGGGCTAGATTTATAACACGAAGCCACTTTGTACCGTTAAAATGTAGTGAATTATTTGTGCACACTTTTAGCAATAATAAATTCCTAAGGTGTGAATCGATTGCACTGCAATAGTTTATTTCATAACTTATAATGATACAGCTATAGAACTACACATAGATATTTATGATAACTTGATTCAAACAAGCTCAACTCTTCAGCCAAAAGAATGCTAAATCTGTCGTGAGTGCTCAACAGCACGTAAGAATTTGCAGAATTAACACCGTTCCACATTTTTCATAGACAAGAACACATTATCAAACCATTTGCAAAGCATAAGTCTTGATATTGGTAGCCTTATTCTAATGAGTCCTGGTGGTATATAAAAGGAAAGTAGTAATAGTCGACTTGCGAATTACACATCAATAGTCACATACAAAGGAATCAAGACGAGGCGCCGTGCTAAAGACAATAGATTTTTCACAAAAAAGCACGGCGCCTCGTCTTGATTCCTTTGTATGTGACTATTGATGCGAAATTCGCAAGTCGGGTATTGTAAACACAAAGTCATTAATATCAACATTTCTTAAATAAGATTTTAAACGGTCCCAATCAGTCCAATAACGCCAGTGTTTTTTCTCGTTGTAGGTTACACTATTTATGAGTGTTCTTGAGAGTCATGGCAGAACATTTCAGGGTCAAAAACAGCCAAAAACATTTTTGGAAATTGTCCTTCGTGTCGTTGTAATTTCTCGCTTGAAGTGAATCACTAATGAATTTCAATGAATTTTCAACAGACTGGCGCATGCGCACGCCAAACGGCCCCTTGTTGTTCATGTAATGGCAGTCATAAATGATTATATGGATCATGGAATGATATTCTTCATCTGTCGTCTATGCAAAGACGCGAAGTTTTGAAGTCTTGATGCAGATGGTAACAAAACCATCATCATGACAAAATAAACGCTGTCCGAGCAAGATAGACCTCCGGTCGCAATGTGTATAGCTGCCATGATGCTAAGCATCTGATTATTACAACTCTTTCGTCAGCAATTCTTGAATTCTACTTAGGGACGGGCCATTAGATATCTGAGGGGGTGGTTGGGCAATAACCAAAAAAAAAAACTCGAGCAAGGCTTGAATAGAGAGAGAGAGAGAGAGAGAGAAAAAAAATTCGTGCACAGCAAGAGTGACAAAAAAAAATCGTGCAAGTGAGTAAATATCAGATTCACAGATGTGGAACACACTTTACACCAACAATGACATTTTTTTAAAGTTTATTTCATTTATAACAAAACATATCTTAACTGCTGTTTTTCGTTTTCTGCTATGTTTTTAACCGACATGATGATTATTGGCCATTTTGGTGGGCTATGGCGCATGCATTTTCATCAAAGTCGGTCATTTTTTGCCATTTTGGTGGTACTATTCGTCTACTTTGTTGGTCTGTTGGTTAACATGATAAAAACTGGATGTTAAGTAATATATAACTGAATATGAGCGGGAGACGACCTTTCTGTAATATATAAAACATGAGCGGGAAACCTTTATGGGCATTTAAAACTGCAAGCTGCAAAAAAGGTCGGAGGTGAATTTTTTTTAATTATCAAATTCCAACACATAAGCTATATAAGCATACTTTGCAACAAATGTCAAGATGAAATATCATAGAGAATCGAAGTTAAACTCGTATGCAAATCGATACAAATGTCATGCTATATGAAGATGCGGTATGGCAACGATTTTGCAATGTGCTTACATTATGAATTATTACTGAATTTGATATCATAGGTTCGAATCTGTTAAAGGCTGCATTGCTTAGTTGGTTATCACTTAAAAAAATTCAATTCATACAAAAAAATATTCTAGGTTGTTTATATTTCACTACCACGTTCATATATCACTCATATCTGTTCAGCACAGTTCAAGCCATAATTATACATGACTTTCACAATGGCCGACACTAATTAGCATATTATTGTTAAATTCATAATGTTGACAAAAGAAAACACTCAGATGACAGATATCAAAGCTAAAGATAAGCTCTGGAAGTTTCAAAGAAAAATATTAAATCCTCTGGAAATTATAAGGGTTGGAAGATGCACAAAAACACCAAAACGACACCAAGGCCTCAGTAAAGAATTTCATACAAATCCTTGTGTTTTCATTCCTCCATAACTTCGTCAGTATTTAGTATATATCTTCAAAATTTTGCACCATTACTTATATCTGATAGTTCTTCAATATGACAGTGCTGAATGTTTCCTTAATATTGCCAATCATATTAGATCGATGGTATACACTTGTGAAAGTGGTCTATAACACTTTTTTCTTAAGGATGGATGGATTCACCCAATAAAATGACAGCTCGTCAACATAGTTGGCTTCATAGCTCAGGTGGTTGAGAGATCATTACGGAGACCATGGTTGGATTCGGGTCTTCAGAAATCGAGAATCAKGGGTAATTCTCCAGTTTTAGCCATTTAGTGTTTATTATTACGACATAATACTGAGCTTCTAAGTTAAAGCGTCAAAAGGAGATATTTTTTTCATGTATTGTGCTCGTTTTTGGAGGAAATCGACTTCAAGATTCCTGTACATACCTTAATTAAGTTCGCTTTAATGCTTAATGCTTTAGTGCGTTGTCTTTGAATAGYGAACAGCTCGTTCAAAACACAGGAAAACTTGTTTTTTAAGTGTTTTTTTTTTTTAATTCAAACTCAAGCACAAGAGCCCATAGACTTGCATTATTAAGCTTGGCTAGGCGGCAGAAGCGCTCTTCTGGAAGAAATCAGAGGTGGGAAGAGATTTTGCGAAGAAAAGGGCGATCGTCAGTTGGTTTAAAGCYRATRGCGCCATTGGAGTGAAATCGACTCCCTGGCTGTCTTGTGTTTGATTTCGCGACCTACAATGCAAATTTCGKCAAGTTTGGACTTCTAAAAAAAGAAATCGGCTCAATATTTTGTGGGCAGGTCCGAATGACTTGGCACTTCAAAAAAATGTTGAAAATGCAGAGTACAGGTTAGTCCTTGTCGAAAAAAAACACGCAATTACCCATAAATCTGTGCGAGTGTAACCCAAGAAAACACGTACGTCAGGAAGTGGACCAAAAAAGGAGCTTTTTCTCGGCAAACAATAGACAATAAACTGACCAATGAAAAGTAAAAGTGTCAAATTTCCTGAAAAAGTTGAATTTCGGAATGAATGTAAGGATTTTGAGCAGTAGAACTGGAAAGAATTCAAGCCATTGTCCAGTGTCCTTGTCTAAATCGTAAGCGTATGCAGGTCAAATCTCACACCAAAACAAAAGTGACTGTAATCGTCAGGAAAAAGAAGCAGAAGTCTTAGTTTAGAATTTAGCAGGCAGGTAATTCCTAAACAACACATTCAATACATTTGTTAGCACCTTTGCCACTAAACAGAGAAAGGGAATTTTTTTAAAAAGAKTGGTCGATTATCGTACAAATATGTACGATTGGGACTTAAAGGGTTAATAGCACTGCGCGAAATATTCATCAAACTGTGAGAGCTTTATTTTTTTAATATATCAACTTTAGGATATCATTTCTAGTAATCACAACCACCACAAGTCTTGCCACAATACTTTTGGCTTATGAATGAGAAAGAACAATACCCTTTCGCCTTCCACTCATTGCAGTAATAATGGTGATCTTTACAATCTGGGACTGAAGAASAAATTATATAAATAAAGTTAAAGCTATTCAACAAAAGAAAATGTCATCACAGCACATATATTTTTCGAGTGTCCTTTTGTATTTGCAAAGCAAAATATATACAATAATTATTGCATAAGCGTTTGGATTGGACTGATAGTACACTTAGATCCGGTTCAATATCCTACAGCAACACAAGAAAGGAGTTGGTACAGCTAACGTAACACACAACTAAACACAAATAAGATTGAAAATTGGGCATAGGCAATTTTAAGAGCAATATTTGACTAGGTTAGTTGGTTCTGACTGTAGCTTGCTACTTACGTAGAATCTATCAGAATTTATCAAATTCATTTTACATACATTTTGAAMGAAATGGTTCTTTCTTCTTCCAGTTTATCCATTCAATAAAGGAACTGACTCTGGTGAAAACGCTGTAGAAATTTCTGGTGCAATTTTGGGATCCCCAACTGACTATTCCCTGGAGAATCCATTTTCCATCCGGGTCCTTACACACTAGAGGTCCACCGCTGTCTCCTCTGCATCCACTGTTAATTGAGTCATCGCCGGCGCAGAGGTTTGAAAACAGGTTGACATTGCTGTACCATAATTCATCATTAACAGCAGCGCAGTCTTTGTAAGAGGCAATGGGCAGCTCCACKTGCTTTAGAACTAGCGACTTTRCATTGCTAGAGGAATYGATGCGACCCCAACCTGTAAAATGGTTAAGTTACATAACGGGTTTTGTTTCTTAGGGCAGAACAAGAACAGGTTTCAAAGTCTTAATTCCATAATGACCGCGATTTGGATTGAAAACGTAACGTTTTTTTTAACATATCCAGCTGTACCTGTTACCTGTTTCAAGCACCTAAAAGTATCCGAGTGGCATCTCTATTCGAGAAAAGTATCATATAAAACTGACGAAAATTAAACTTACCAGTTAAAACACATTTTGTTCCTACAGAGACTTGTTCATACAGAAATGGTAAGGCAATTGTTTGAACATGAATATTCAAATTTGCTGGTGGTGAAATTTTGACAAGTGCGATATCGTAAGCATATTGTTGCTCGGCAAAATATCGATCATGAGCGTGGTATCCAACAATCCTGTGGTCGGTTTCTGTTCCACTTGTATCAGTTTGATCGTGCTCTCCTAAGAAAATAACAAKGATATTTCATAAAATGACGATGGAATATTGTACTCAGAAGAGTAGAGTCGCCGTTGCACGGGTATGTCGTATTTTCCACGTAGTAATGCGTGTTTGYGTAAAGGACGCTACGTCGATGGTACAGATTGTAAGGAAAGGATGCATGTAGCATTGGAAAACAAGAATCGATACAAAATGTGATAAGACCTGCACGTGACAAACTGTATGCTTAGTTTCCATCAAATGCCACCCGCAAATCGACTATTGACTATTGATTCCTTCTGAAGTTGACTGCAAAGGTCGAAAAGTTCAGGAAAAGCCTAGTATTTTTAATAAAGGTTGAAGTTATAAATACAACTATAAATTCATMAAGATGTGAAAAGGGACAAAAGTTAAAATTGATTGTTTGAAACGTRCACAAAAAACGTGTTTCTATAATARCATAAAAACAGATTTCAGACGAAGATCAGCTAGATTTGCTAATAGATTTTCAAAAGCATTCAAGATCTTTCTCCTGTTCTTCAAACAATCTAACATTTTGCAACAGAGAACAGTAACACAGCATGTAAAGAAAAGAGCTATRTTATTTACCAAGTCGAACTACAAGCTGGTCCATTTTACCGAATACCAAGCAGTGAGCAGCGGTCAGGACCCATTCCTTATTAATTAAAGAACCCCCACAAAGGTGTCGATTGTTCGTTCGTAATTCCACCATCCAAGGCCAAGAGTTTGGCTTGGCTATTTGYCCGCCTATWACGCGCTTGGAGAAACSACTTGATAWTCCAGGAGGAAGATCAGCTAAAACAAGCGATACAAAWGTTTTTGAATAACATGGAGAATTTTGATTAGGATWAATTTGAATRTRAAATCGGTTTAGGGACTGGTTTAGAGTTGTCGCAAATCATGGCACGTTTTTCTTGAGAAGTTTTCGAATTAGACACCGTTGATTTCCTCTTAAAGTACMGACRCATAAAAGCGGAGACTATTTTCTGAATCCTTTGAGCAAGATTGCTTCTTAATTTAACCTGCCYATGTATCGATCAATATAAGACATCAGGTTCACGTAAATATTAAAATAAAATGATTATAATATCTCTGTACTCATATCAGAGCCGCCACRCCGTCAAGATCTACTTTCTTCGATCCTTCACGGCTTACCCAGGCTTTCCGATGACTCGAAGAAAACAATAAGGAAGTAAAATGACAAGTACATCATGATCCCTTCTTTGATTTCTGAAAGCAAAAATATAAATGGTTAAAACGTATAAAAACAAATATATCTTATGCCTTCATGTTTTTTATATCTAAGTAACTTGTGCTAATTTCTCGCTTTAAAATACCTTTGATCCACTATCTRCGTGTTTAACCTCTTCGACTTTACGGAATAGAGTAGTATCTATGGCCAATGATCCCAGTATATATAAATGTTTGTGTCATGCGTGGTTTGTGTCACTCCTATTTGATTGGCATAATTTGATTTTAAGAGAGAACAGAAACTGGATGATAATTAAAATAAAAGTCAATCTTCTTTTTTATAAAATTAATATTGGTTGCATCATTGCGTTGAGCTGCAGCGCATTTTTTCTGCCTTTGCATTTTCCTTTGACTCTGCCTCTTAGAGTTGAATATGCAATTTCCAAGATTGCGTTATTTCACTACCAATGAATACCTTTACTTCGTTTATTTTAACTTTGATTCAGATTTTAAATCACTTTTTAGTAGTTAATTGACACTAATGACATTGTATAAAATAACAGTCAAAACAATCTGATCTTGATGTGAAGTGATGCTRTCGCGCAAATCGCCAATTCAATTGTGAATTGAAAATCGAAGAAAAATGGAGCTTTACTTCTGGGCGGGTTGAATTGGGCAATTATGGCAAGCCTCAGCCGAATGGGTCCATTAAACGGTCTCGCTTAACTATTAGAAGCACACAAATAAACACTCAAAACATCGAAAAAAGTCGTATGAATGTGAGCCGTTGTGAGAGATATTATGCATGCAAAGTTTGAAATAAGAACTTTCTCTGTAGTAATCTAGCAAAGTTGATAGAATGGCCCAATAGCCGACTTGCGAATTACGCATCAATAGTCACATACAAAGGAATCAAGACGAGGCGCCGTGCTTTTTTGTGAAAAATCTATTGTCTTTAGCACGGCGCCTCGTCTTGATTCCTTTGTATGTGACTATTGATGCGTAATTCGCAAGTCGGCTATTCACAATTCCTAACACTTTGTCACAATAAAACTCATTATCGAACCCATCTAAAATTCTAGTTCATTTTGAGGAAAACTGTTTTTATTTATGGGAAGCGAAAATTTGTGATACTTCTTATTACTTAACAAAACATAAAAGCAACTTAAAAATAGACATTCAAAACCTCTTCCTTATTTCTCTCAATTTCTCTCAGTGATTCTCTAATTCCATGGCTTTCACGTATTTTACTTCCAGGGATCGCTTTTAATATCTAACAAAGGTTAAACGGGATTGTTACCACCACAGGTCACACAACCATTGTTCCATCAACTTATTGGTAGACGGCTAGACAGAGACATTTCTTCACTTGATAATTTTAAAACTGCTCTTAAAACCTTATTTAAACAAACTTATGATCTGTAACTCTATTATAACTTTCTTTATCTTAATTTTTACCTTTTTAGTTGCGCTTAGAAAAATTATATAAGCGCTTTAAAAGCTTAGATTATCATTATTATTATTATTATTAGACACTCTAAGAGTGGTTACTCGGGATGGTGCAGCGCTACATCACTGGTTGAAGCATATGTAATTCGGGGTTTACTGATGTAGACGTTGGTATCCTATCTTGGGACTTTATTGGGACTATGCCATCAACTGGCTTTAATTAACCGACAGTTACAACTTAAAACAAGTCCTATATCTAATTTTAACAGTATTTTTGTGATGAATGGGTTGTTTAWTTAGCCRGGCGAGTGCTCGAGGTTGCCGACGAAATTAAAGGTGAATTAAAACTAAGGCACCGYCTGAGAAGCTGTGTAAACCTTGTTAATGGCTTAAAGATGTTGGTTGACTGGGCTAATGTTATAGCGTTTTTTAAAAGAGGACGAAACGTGTCTATGAATTTGCATTAAATGTGCGAGGACGTAGTGCATTCTGAGCCAAGCAGCAACTACCCACTTGATATCTTGACAAGTGTGCCATCCTGATCACTAAGGTATAGTTCTAATTGTGATGTAACCTTAAAAGCTAGAAATATACAGCGATTGCTAAACTGCACGTGGAAAKCAATTAACTACGGGGAGCATATAAGTTTGTACAGGTYTTAAAAGCAATTATCGTAAAAATAGCTCGTACACTTCAATGGATGTTCGTCAATCGCTAGCCTGCCAAATATTGCATGATAGCTGAGTAAACGTAAGTTATTATTAAGATAATATTATATGCGTGAAGTTAAGGTAGTCAATAGAGAGTGGAATAATGGCGCATAACACACACGTTATAGGGTGATGACGCTCTGCATGACGTGCTGAGTGTCCAAAGAACCATTCTAAAATGACTGATAGCTGTAAARGATTTTCAGAACGATGTAAGGAAGGGTGAAAAGGTACAGCTTYGTATTGGATAGTTATTAAAAACATGAATCAAAATTTGTATAGCATTACCAAAAGGCATACAACTGACTCAAAATCAATGGTAGACTGGGTAGATGATATTTCATGTATATTTCCAGCATAGCTAAGGACTGCATCTCATAATTACCTTAAAATATGTTCACTATAATAGGTAATTCTGTCAGTAATAAAAAGYATGTCATGCAGCCTTGATTAGTACAGAATACAACTCATTTCCAACGTTCATTATGAAGTTCTTACTAGATAGTGTGAACTATCTTTGAAGGATGTTTCAATCCGAAATCGAAATTATAGAAACCAACTGAAGATTTTCTACTAATAAAGTATTAAAGAAATAMACAGACAAGCAATTATGTCTTCAGTGCTTTTTATATAGCTTATATTTCAACCCATCTATTTTATTTTTCTCGCGCATTTTGCCCAGTTGTAGTTTTATCCTATCCCCCATGTAGTCTTTGTGAGCTCTTCTTCTTTGTTGATATATTTCTCGAAGACTTTAGCTAAACTTTATRAAARAAACTAAACGTTAAATCATGATTTTTAAAATTTTAGATATGTAAATAAATTAAAACTCGAGATTTTATAATGGTCAAGTATTCAATTCACACATTTCCATGCAAGCTGCAGGGCATATCTAGTGGTCAAACGCAGGGCAAGAACGCAGGGCTAAGAAAATTATAAAGCAGCTCAGATTGGTATAATATATTATTATATGACCGTGTAACTAGGAGTCTGGGCGCTAGYAAATGGAGGCATTTGATTGGCCGAATTCGATTTTGCTCCGGTCTATWTTTTCCTASGTAGACCGGTCCGAGGCCTGTACAAATTGAAATTCAGTTGAAGAGAAAACAAAACATTTTGACTACCAAGTTTTGATCATTTTCTGGAGTCAATTGAATTGTCGATAAGCGTTAAGACCATAGAAAAGCGATTTCGATTTTTTTTWMCMWWAWWAARSCSRAAAMCYTTGCGAAAACAAAGTAAAACTTTCAAACAAAACCGTTTCTAGCGCGCGCCGGCTCCGTGCCCGAGCGAGTCGTCATTTTTGTCAATCGGTCATATAATARAATCCTTATTAACCGAGCTTGCTCGGTCTGTACGGGAGAATCTTGACTTCGGTCGGRTACAGASCTCGCTTCGCTCGGTCTGTAGTGTTCCCGACCTCAGTCAAGATTCTCCCGTACAGACCTCGCGCCCGGTTAATAAGACCTAAATATCAGATAAAATGAGTAAGTCACTCTGAAATTTCATGCTAAAATAATTCTATGAAAATGAAATTTTCAGCCAGAAGCTTAGGTTTAGCTTTAGGTTCTAATCATTTGGGATTTGCTGTATTTTTTTAAGAATTTWAAACAATCATCTATGAGATTATTAAATAATTAACTTTTAATTAAAACAATAAAAAATTATAAAATTTTGTAATCATTGTGCCATAATTATATTGGGTTTCCTGTTTTTGGTTGTGGGGATTCGCTATGCATTATGCATATGCATAGCAATTAAGATCAGTACGCTATAAGCAATTATTCTTGAAACCAAGAAACATATCTCTATCCAGTAGACATCGCATATAGTAAAAATGATATTAACCTTCAGTCAGACRATGATGCATCCATGTCCACAAGTCTTGCCACACTTCCGATTTATGAAAGGCACATCACAAAAACCTTTGTCCTTCCAATTATTGCAGTAGTAATGGTTATCTGCTTCACAATAAGGCACTGAAAAAAAYGAATAGAGATATCCAATGCTGTTTGGTAGTGGTAAGTACGTGATTGTGTTGTTATGACTGAAAAATAATCATTATATTAGGTTGTTGCTACGCTACAGTACCAGGTTTCGAAAATAATGTATTTTAAAACTTAAAAGTTAACTTAAAAGTTCTTAAGCACCGTCMRTGAGAAAATATCGCGTCTTCTTCCAATTTATCCACTCAATGAACGAGCTGACTCTAGTGAATATGGTATAACCATTTTCTGTGCAGTTTTTAACCCAAGTGACTATTCCTTGGAGAATCCATTTTCCATTCTTTTTTTTGCACATTAGAGGACCACCGTCTTCTCCCTTACAAAGTGTGTTGTTTTCGCCATGGCCAGCACAAATAGTTGAAAACAGGCTAACCGGTTTGTTATCGTTGGCAACAGTACAGGCTCTGTGCGAGAAAATGGAAACCTCCACTTGCTTTAGAACAGGTGAAACTTGGGAGGTTTTACCTTGTAGACTCCAACCTAATAAGACAAGTGCAAATCATTACTTACAGGAATATTGAATTGTTTTCGTCTTATCTGGGAAATGCCTTTGCCATGCATGCTCAGTCGAACTTAATATTCTGTCCCTTAATTTTTTAGCTCAAAATGTTGCTACAAATTTGATTTTCATTGAGAACAGTTGCCACACGAACTTGATAAAGTCAGACAACTTACTTCAAATATATGAATATGAGGACCGCATGGCACTATGATAGACACGAAAGGGGGACTCCCTCATAAAAGTTGGTAGGCTCAACGGACCTTTTAAGGTCAAAAGTAAAACCCTCGTGTATCTTTTAGGGTCCTGTTAAAGACGTCAAAAATGGTCGACCGTACSTTTTTGGGTCTGGAATCGATGTCTGAATTAATTTCTGCGTACCTTTTAGGGTCAATTTTTTAATCCTCGAGAATACCTACCAACTTTTATAAGGGAGTCTTCCTGGGAGTAGMTTATGATATTTGTTTCCCGTGTTGAATTAWTGCTAGCACCGTATTTTTTCTTTCAACCCATTTTTTCTTTTGTTCGATGTTGTTGTCGTTGTTCTTTCTTTTGCTTGTTTGTTTGTTTTTTTCTAACTTTTTTTTTGTCTCTTTACTCTAAAAATCTAAAAGTTATTTTTTTCGCTGGACGCGAAGTATGTATAGTAACAATCTAGTGGAAAAGCTAAAGAGTGATATTCTTGGAAAGTTATTTATTACCAGTTACGACACATCTTGTACCAACAGGCACTTGTTCATATAGACGGGGTAAGCGAATTTTTTTGATATTGTTATTAAAATGTGCTGGTGGTGAGATCTGTGCGAGTACAATATTGTAGCCATAAGGTTCGTCGGCTAAATAGCGATCATGGGTGTGGTGTCCAACAATTTTGTGCACTGTTTCTGAGCCAGTTGTTTCATTTAGATCGTGCTCTCCTAAAATAATAAAAATGATAATGGTGCATATCAAATAAAATGCGGTGAGATATTTCAATATTTCCACGGAAAAATATAATCTTGTTTTAAATTACTAATTTCTATTAGATTACTTCATGACGTCTCGACTTAGCTGACAACACGGAAATCTATATCTACAAGTGAATAAACACAAATATATACATTTGTTTCATTAATCAATGATATACATATAGCTATTTCAAAAAAGGTTGTTGGATAAAATGGCGCCGAATGACAATTGTCGGACGGCGATTGCACGACCGAAAGTAGCCATGGGTTTTGCTGGTTTAAAGGTAATAATAACTTGTTTGTACTGCAAGAGWTGGTCTGTGGTAAACATTGGCTCCATTTCGACTCCATTTCTATGTAACCTGAATCCAATAAGTGAGATTTTGTTTATCAAAACAGTGTAACAAAAGTCCCTTTCGGTCGTGCAATCTCACTTCGACAATCACCGTTCGCCGTTCTGCTTGGGCTACCTGTGGACAATTTGTGACTGATAAGCGACAATGAACAAAAAGACGCACGAAACCTAAACTCGGGGATTCMTTTGGAACCCCGAGTAATAACGCCGAAACCTAAACTCGCGGTTCCACAGGAACCCCGAGTAATAAATAAAAACTGTTATTTTATTCAACTACTCTATTGCTTAGAATAGAAGCTAAGTGAAAAAAAATCATGTTTTACTTACCAAGTACAACTTCATAATCGGAAATTTCATTTAACTCTAAACATTCTCTGGATGTCAGGACCCACTCTTTGTCAATCAAAGACCCTCCACAAACGTGTCCAGATTTCATTCTGATGTCCACCATCCATGGCCAAGAGTTCGGTTTGGCTTTTTGACTCCTTCTAGGGCTTTTAGGCAGTTTAGACATCAAAGGATCTGTCATTTTTKTATCTGATGWATATTCCCACCCTCCTATAGACATTGCAGAAACACTCGCCAGTCCAGGAGCAACTACAGCAGCAGAGAAAAATGGCTTATGTTCTATCCAATAATTGTATATTGTATACAGTGTAATTATGGGGACATTTTCATTGATATTCGCAGGTTACACTGATTTTTTTGGTTACGATATAATATGGAGCACGATGAAGAGCTTGTAAGGGTGGGAAGACCCAAAAATTTTACCTAACTTTAAAACAACAGACGAAAAAACAACAGACTGCGCTGTGGCATTTTGCTAACAYTATATGATGTTGGGAAAAGAGAAATTTAGATGATATAACACCTTACTAGCTATCTCCCTAGAAACAATATATARAATACACATGGTCTGTTCACTTACTCATACTCTTCGACGAAAGCACAGACACTAGAATACCAAGACATAGGTACGCCATCATYTTTTCTTTTCAATTCGTTTATGAAAGCAAACAGGAAAAGTAAAAWACTAGCAAACAAMAAAATATGTTWTTTATGTTGGGATCATTCACAAAAAATTGAAGAATGGTATTAGCTGGGCTGCTTCATYSACATTGAAATGTTCCAACAATTATCGCAGTTGCCTTACCTCAATACGTGCTGAATTGAAGCGTAAGGAATAGAGTAAGTAATTCTGAATCATTTATATATACAAACATATATCTCCTCACTATTTATACATGCGTACTATATGCGYTTATAAAAACCTTAAACACTTAGACTCATATTAGAAAGTGAAATTAATAACATTTCTCTTTATATGTTGATTCAACCTCCCCCTTAAAAGAACGAAGTGTTTTACGATGAGACATTTCTTGTGAAATATTTTCTATTGTACAAATAAAGTTGGGAAAACCGGCTCTCTATACAGCCGCGTATTTTGTTGAAGGGCCTCCTGGCCAGTATGTAGGGGATCAAAAATGCACKTGAGTTGCAATGTAGAACAAGATGCAATGCTAGAAACATTTATCAATAGYAAAAAAAGGAGCCTTTATAGATCTAATATAATAATAATATTTCATTCTATATGGGCATGTAAAACTGCGAGCTGCAAGCGAGAAGTTTTAGAACMCAYAAAGSTCGGAAGGAAATATTTTATATTGCTTACCAAATTCCAAGCKTAAAAGGCGTATGCAAATCAGGACAAATCTCTTGCTCATATAAAGATGCRGTCACATAAATGATTTTYTATTGTGTTTAATTTTTAATGAATTTGATAAGTAATATATGAAACTTTTAGTAAATCGAATCATCGAGAGTTCAATTAATACGATGTACCATCAGCTAAAGTTCCAAAAAAATGTAAATAATATATAAAGTAAGACGGAAAATRTTTGTAATGAAATATTTTCTAATGTCGGAACACTTGGAAAAAAAACTTGAGGACCTCTACTGACTGGATCTCCTGAACAGCATATAAGAGCACTTGAGTTGCAATGAAATGCAGCTCTTAAAACTGCTTTCCTGTTAGTTTTGATGGCCAATAATCTGGCCAATAGAGTGACCCACGCGACGTACTATAAGCTCTGTATGTTAGCCTGCACAAAAGGCTGAATTATAAAGCCGATATTGCAAGATTGTCTGGAAACAATAACTTCCCGGATAAAAGTATAGCTTCGCAGAAGAAAGCAAACATGTATTTAAAGTACACCCTATCACCTAACAAACGCAAAAAATATTAAAGACATTTACAGAATATTATAAGCATGTAGAAGATTAATATAGAATTTGAGTTGGAGTACAGAACGTACGAAAAGCAGCATATTTTCATTTAGTGTACTTTGATATCAATGTAATTTCAGCTTTTTTAATTTCTATCATGCTAGAATAGGGAATAAGAGGTTGGCTGATCGTTTTCAMYYATTCCCATGAGATTCAAAAWGTAAAAGACCGGCGGCCATGTTGGAGGAATGAACAATAGATASTAATGAGAAATTATTTGTTGAAGTTCCTCCAAGATGGCCGCTGTGACGTAACCTGCAAACGAAGAATAGTARATTTGTGAAAAGAGAATTATATAGGTAACGGTAGAGTATGGGTTATAACTACTTAGCTTCAACAGTGTGCAATCAATGTTGATTCAGCCTCACTGGACGTTTCTCACAAAAAAAGTTAAAAGACAGCTGAGTTGGGAAAAACTGAAGAGATCAACAGCTTTAGTTCTGGCAGGATCTCGTGCAAGAATCAGAATGCTCTTGAGTTTCGGGAAAGAAGGCTTTGTTTTGTGCGAATAATTAAAAGCAGTATTCTTCAATTTTTTCTTAACTGATTTAAACTGGTATAAATATATATTTTTATGTCATAATTGCAATGGACGCAATATTTTTGCACCAGGATTTCATTAGATCTTGATCACTTTCACTTTTTTCCCTTTTGTTGTTGTTGTTTTTTTTTGCTGTAAAGACCGATTTTGCTGTTTATTTTAGTGCTTGCATGCACAGCATCCCGCTACTGTCTTACTAAATAAAGGATCCTGAACAAAAGCTCTCCACTCAGCGCCAACATAGCCGTCAGGCCTTAAAAGAGTTCAACGGGTTCTTCCCTAATTAACTTATAAATAAAACTCGTGCTTTCACATTCGAGATGAAATCGTGAGATGCCTCTTCGATAGTCTAGACGAAAATGAAAAGGACATGTTATCGAGATATTCGCTAAATTTTGTCTACAAGCGAAAGTAAATCATCTCACTTTTCTAAGTACTTTAAACGCTAATATTAGAGTTTTAAACCATCTGAAATTCGTTTTATGGTGATCGGAATACCAGAAGCATTTTTTTGTAAATCTATCATAACAATAACAGAGACGTGCAAAGTCTAATGGTGCAAACTGGGCCTTTAATGTTGTAACTAGTCGGACAATATAATGGTTTTCTCAAGGTTTTTATTCATTTCACAACCAACTAGTTTTTCTACAATTAAGCTCCTCTTGTTAGCATTTCCTCCTTTTTTTTCTTTGTTCTTTTCTTGAAGACTTTGACTAAATGTGACAAAAACAAAGAGAAAGTTAATTCGTAATGTTAAATCTTGCCGTCATTCTTTGCCGTTACTTTAAACTAAAAAATCTAGACATATCAACAACGGGAGAAAGAAATTAAATAAACTGTAAGCGAGGAATCGTATCTAAAGAGAAATATCTGGTAACAAAACTTAATGGGGACTGAAAGTCCTCAACGAATTGCTGCTTATGCTATATTGTCTGAGCGACTGATTGTTATATAGGCCTTAACCGGAACCTTAAATTGCACTAAATCGCCTTTTTATTTAAAAAATCGCCTTAAATGATTAACAGTTGTGAAATGCCACTGTTCTTAGGGTAAAAAGTTTGTTGTTTGCATGGGATCTATTTTTATCTCTCTTTCATCGTTAGTATAGGACATTTCAATATCTACCTTTTCAAAAAAAGACATTGGATAAAATGGTGACGATCAATTGTCGAAAGGCGGTTGCRCGACCGAATAGGCATGAGTTTTTATAATTGATTGCAATAAAAGCTGATTTCTAATCTCTACTGTAATATATGTAAACATTGCCTCCATTTTTTCTCAATTTCTTTGCAAAGAGAATCCAATAAGTGAAATATTGTTTGTCAAAACAGTGTAGCCATATAGTCYCTTTCGGTTATGCAATCCCCCTTCGACAACGTTTGCCGTTCTTCCCTACAAATTACTGGGTTAGTCAGAAATAGCAGACTAAATTAGAATAATGTCGATCCGACAGTTTGAGGTACATTGAAATGATTATAAGTCCGAGGAAGGAAAACATCGTTGAGAAACGATGGATTAAGGGACTAGTCGTAGAGTACGAATATAATATTGCGACTTT